CGGGCGTATGCCGAAATCCTTCAAAAACCTTCGGTTTCGGAAGAATTTCGAAATCGTGCGTCCAAAAAACCTACAAAAACACAAGGTTTCGCAACACGGGTTTTCAACAAAATTGTGCGCGCGCGCTCTTGCGTCGTCGTCGTCGTCGTCGTCCTCCCTCCTCCCTCGTCGTCGTCGTCGTCGTCGCCGTCGTCGTCTTCTGTCTTTCCTCGTCGTCTTTGGCGTCGTCGTCGTTTCCGTCGTCGTTGTCGCCGTGGTCGTCCTTCCTCCCTCGTTGTCTTCGTCGGCGTCTCGTCGTTGTCCCTCCTATTTCGTCGCGTCGTCGTCGTCGTCGTCGTCGTCGTGGTCTTCACTCCTCCCTCGTCGTTATCCTCCTCCCTCGTCGTCGTCGTCCGTCGTCGGCGTCTCGTCGTCGTCCCTCCTATTTCGTCGCCGTCGTCGTCGTCTTCGTCGTCGTTGTCATCGTCGTCGTCATCCCTCCTCCCTCGTCGTTGTCGTCGTCGGCGTCGCCGTCCTTCCTCCTTCTTCGTCGTTGGCGTCGTCGCCGTCTTCCCTCCTCCATCGTCGTTGTCGTCGTTGTCGCCGTCGTCGTTTTTTCTCCTCCCTCGTCGTCGTCTCCGTTGGCGACGTCGTCGTCGTCTTCGTCGTCGTCGTCGGCGTCGTTGTCGTCGTCGTCGGTGTCGTCGTCGTCGTTGTCGTCGTCGAAAACATTGGAGACGTCGTCGGTGTCGTCGCAGTCGCTGTCGGCGGCGCCGTCGTCGTCGATGTCGCTGTCGTCGTCGGCATCGGTGTCGTGGCCAAGTGCCACGCAGTACCTACCGTCACGGTCTTGTCTGAAGATGTCTTGCGACCAAGTTGCGGGTGGGAGGGTGGGATGTTTGCACGAGCAGTGGAGAGGACAGCTTCAAGACAGTCGAAGTGGATTGCACACCATAGATTGCACCACCTAGAATGCGCTTCATAAACTGCACCACCGACATAAGCTGCATCACGTAGATTGCACAACATCTATTATTAGAAGCACACGGGCTGGAGTCCAGCAAGCAAGCGAGCAGAAGGATAGGGACGAACAGGCAGGAAGACGGATTGAGGCGCATGTCCCGGCGAAGGCGGTACCGTGCGAACCCTGCCACTGGGGCCTTCAATGAAGCTGCCTTGGCGGCCACGATCCTCGCGATGGAGGTGCCAAAATGGGCGGGGGGGCGCACGCGGACCCTGCCACTGGGGCCTTCGGTAAAGCTTCCTTAGGGTCAGGGTCCTCGTAAGGGGAGTGCCGAAATGGGCGGGGGAACTGGGGGAACGCATGCGGACCCTGGCACCGATGCCTTCGGTGGAGCTCCCTGTGGGGCCACGATCATCCCAAGGGGTGCGCAGAAATGTGCGGGGGGACACATGCGGCGAGATGACACAGCGACCTTACCGCGGCTCACGCGGGCTGCCATCGTGGCACGCCATAGTGGAGGGGCACTCAAGCGGGACCTCACGCGGGCATCTTACGCGCCAACGTCGGTGAAGACGACTCCCTCTTTTTCCGTCGCTCAAGTGGTCCCGACGTCATTTTTGTTTCATTACGTCGACCCCCAAAGGTCCCAACCCATTCCCCAGGACTGATATTTCATCCTGATTGGTTTTCGACGGTCCCGAGGCCCAGTAGGGGCCTTAGAGGCCGAACGAACACGGCGAAAAACCTCCCGTCGCGACTTGTTCACGGCGCAACGGGGTCTGGGCACACAAGGCCAGGCGGGGGATGAATGGTCTCACACGGGCACCCGCTGGACTGCCCCGGCTCTTGGCCGACCCCGCCCCCGCCGGCCTCGGGCGGCTGCGCCGGCTCCAGCTCCCGGAAGAGCTGGCCGTCCTGCGCAGGCAGCCACAAGCAAAACCGGCGCCCGAGCGCGCTGCCTTCCGCTCAGACGCTGCCCCCAGCTGCCAAGGCCCGAGCCCAGACCCCCTCGAGCCATGAAAAGATCACGATGCACCACCTGTCGCTACGTTCGGCCTCCAGGGGCCCTTAGCGAGCCTCGGGGCCGTCAGAGAACGACTCCCGATGGAGAGCTGGCCCCGGGGAGTGGATCGAGACCTGGGGGGCGTCGACGTTGTGAAAATTCATGAAGCTGAGGGTCCATTGTGATATCCGTCGTGACTTGGGCGACGATCACAAGCGGGTCTTCGCGAAATGGCGTATCGACCTCTGGGGGTCGAGACCTCTGGGGGTCGACGTTGTGCAAACAAACAAAAAAAACATTCTATGTCGGGCGTCGGGGGCCCCGGGCCCCCGACGCCCCGGGAAATCCTGGCGTCGCAACTTTTTGCCGGGCCGGGCGTGCAGTCCAGCGTCGGGCCCCGAGGCTCTCACAGAAGGATCGTGCGCGAAGGATGGCACAGGAAGACGGGGGTCCAGGGCTCCAGGCGTGGTCTTTGACAGTGCCTCAACGTTTCGCGGCGTCGGATCTCGACGCGCTGCTTTCGGCTCGGACGCCGCCCCTGACGGTCAACCCGTTGAAAAGGATGCGCGGTACGGATGCAAGGGCCTTTTCGAATGAGGTTGGCCAGCGAGAGTCGCTAAGAATGAGCCGAGGGGGCACGGATGCAAAGGGAGCCTGGGAAAGTCGCTCATCCTTACTAGCGCGGGCTGATTTGACCACCAAGGCCCGAGCCTAGGCCCCCGACGTCATGATTTTACCAACACGTCGACGCCCCCCAAGTCTCGATCCATTCCCCAGGCCAACCTTTCCTCCCGGGCTATTCTCTGACGGCTCCGAAGCCCGCCCAGCGAGGGCCCCCAGAGGTCGAAAATAGATCGAAACACCTCCAGTCGCGATTCTTTCGCTGTGCCGCCGAGGGCCGCCGGAGGGCCGCCGGAGGGCCGCCCGAGGGCCGGGCCCCGGGCCGCCCGCGGGCCGCCGGGGGGCGTGCCGCCGAGCGGCGGCGCGCGGCGCGCGGCGCGCCCACCGCGCGCGCCCACGAAGTGGCGGCCCCTGTCGAGGTGCGGCGCCCTGCGGGCGGAGAGGCCGGCGCCTTTCCCTGCCGCGCGCGCGAGCGCGCGCCTCCCAGGGCCCCCTCGCGCAGCGAAAAAAGCACGACGGGAGGCGTTTCGTTATTTTCGGCCTCTTAGAGCCCTCGCTGGGCCTCGGGGTCGTCAGAGAACGGTTCGGGATGAGAAGCTGGCCCCGGGGAGTGGATCGAGACCTGGGGGGGGTCGGCGTTGTGAAAAACTCATGAAGCTGAGGGTCCATTGTGACATCCGTCGTGATTTGGGCGACGATGACAAGCGGGTCTTCGCGACATGGCGTATCGACCTTACGCGGCGGCTTTCGTGGTCCGCTGGAACGGCACGCCATCAGAGAACGAAGGCTCGCGCGCGACTTTCGCGGGCAGCGTGCGCGCCAATGTCGGCGCAGACGGTCCCATTTTTCTGCGTCGCTCGTTTGCACACGGCACAAGCATGCCTTGGTATGCCGATCCTGGGCCCAGGATGGACCCAGCCGGGATCCGAGAGTTGCTCGGTCGACGCCCCCCGATGATCCGCAGAACGCATGTTAGCACCCGCGTGTGCTTGTCCAAAAAAGCCCTTCACTGCGACGCGGGCGGATCAAAAAGGGCCAGAACAGGCCCTGGGCGATCGGCGGAGCCGAGGTGGGTAAACACACGCTTGGGATAACACACCTCCTCCTCCTCCTCCTCCTCCTCCTCCTCCTCCTACTTCTCCTCCTCCTCCTCCTCCTGATCCTCCTGCTCCTCCTCATCCACGCCTACCTCTCAACAACCAGCGTCTCGTGTGAGATATCCCCACCATCTGGGCGCTGACGCGCATGTGTCCTGCCCCCTGACGCTAACCCTTTGTAGTGCCCAAGTCGTATGTCTACTACGTCGTCGCGGCGCCTACGAGGCCCTAAAAAGAGACGCGTCGACATCCCCCAAACAAGCGACTCGATTGACATATCCCCGTAATGTGGGCGCGAACGCACCCGTGATGCACTCCCTGGCGCCTTCCCAGGCGTGGCGCCCAAAAGTGATGACTGCTACACCGCGATCCCCGCAATCTGGGCGCCAACGGGCAAGTGTCAGACCCTCTGGCGCCCTCCCTCCCTCTCTGGGGTATCCAAATATTCGTTTTCTCCGTGGCGGCCCTGAACACAAAAAAAAAAAAAATGTATATAAAAAACACCGACCTCAAAAAAACAGCGTCTCGCGTGAGATATCCATGAATGCTCGGCGCCAACGGGCAAGTGTCATAACCAGTGGTCGCTCCCCCTTGTAGCGCCCAAAGGCTATGGTTGCGACATCGAGAACACCACGCGGCCCTGACAAAGACGCGCCTACATCCGCAAAACAAGCGAAACGCCGGGGACATCCCGGACATCTGGGCACGAACCGGTAAGTGACCTATCCCCCGGCGGCACCCCTAATGATGCCCAGTCTGCGCTCGTCGCATCGCGATGACTCCGACCATGAGATGGCAAAGGAGGGAGGGGGAGGGAGAAAGTAGATGGAGGCGCGGCACGAATCACAAGCGCTCACGACGTAGAGGATGAGAATAAGCTCCGCAACATCTTCCACGATATGTGCAACTACCTGCACAACGGTTCGTTATAACCGTCGGACCCTCGTTCCGCACGCGCTCGACGGAAACTGGCGGCATTCAAACTTGCCCAATCTGCTGGTACATCGCTTCGAATCTGACTTTCGTCAAACGTGCGTTTGGTTCGCCCACGTCGTTTCTGCTGAGACATCCTCACGACTCGCTCTTAAACTGGCCACGACGTGCAGGTGACGCTGTCGGCGTGCTGCCCGCGCCGAGGCGAGAGCGCCGTTTGGACGGACTTTCGGCCATTGTACGGAAGTTCGGCCCGCATAGTAGCCTGTGCGTTGGTGCGAATATGTTTGCTGAGCTGTGCCCGCTTGCTGTCGTCGCTGCGTGGTGGCTCTCATCGTCCTTATGTCAGATCTTGTAGCATTGCATCTTCACCGGGCAGCTGTGGCGTCGGAGCACTCGTTTTTTCTGCTCACGCCCCGCGAGCGCGCATCTGAGCAGAATGAACCTGAGCGCTGTCGTCGTCAATGGTCGCGCACTCCGTCACCCCACTAATATGTTCCGGATGTTCGGTGGCACGTTTTGCAAACCCATCTTCGTAGGTGTTGCCGACGAGTGCTCTTTCTTTTGCGTGCTGCCCTCAAACATAGACTCAAAGCCGCTTGTATTAGTTTGTTGTCTGACCCTAAGTCCGGCAAGTCGGTGGAGCCAGAGCTGGTCACGTAATTACCAGCGCATGTGCTTGCCAACGAATATAAAATCGATCTGCCGCGGTTGCTAAAAAATGCGTGATTCTTTCGAGCGGAGGCTTGGAAAAGAAGGTGCTCGTGATGCTGAGCGCGCACTGGCCACACACTTGTTCCAACCACTGTCCACGCCAACCTTCCGCACCGAATCCGTTACACCCGATCCAGCGGCCTACCTGAGCATTGAAATCTCCACATATCATAATATACATGTTTGTTGGTTTCCTGCTTCATTGCAGACAATGCCGTCCGTGTACATCTTCTAGACCTCCGCATCCTTGCACATGCAATCAAAAAAATAAGCTACCACAGCTCGCAAATCACGCGGAACACACTTGAAACCAGCACACGCCATTTTTCATTGACCGGCACGAAACCTGGTAGCTTTCATGATTTGTGCATCATTATAGCGACACCTTTTCATCCCTCTGGTGTTCCAGTCGACCCTCCAAATACGTGGCCCACGCACCTCGTAAAAATTGTGTTTCTTGTTCCCTCCATGTCTTCGTAAGCAACATGAGATCCCTCTTCATGGAATCCGTTTCTGCCATCAACTCCCCAGTGCTGTCGTCATTGGCAAGGCTTCCGACGTTGAATGAGATGATGTGGATGTGGCGGCGCTCGCTGGCCAGAGTCGTTGAAGCAGGAGCTGGTGGAGAGGCAATCTAAGAAAATATTAATGAAATAGCTTCTGGGGGTCGGAGACGGTCGGTTCCTCCAGGAAGTACTCGAAAACAAAGCGCCTGGACCGGGTAATCTCCATCGGCATTGTCATATTTCCCTCTGCCTCCAACCCATACGGGGAGCTGGCGGCAAAGCATAACAAATCGAATTCATAGATGGAACACTGCTGTGTAGCAGAATTGGCGTGCCCCTCCTCGGAGTGCCACCTCACCCGTCACTTGCTGTCTGTGGTTGGGTATGGGGCGATGCTTGCTCTTCACTTCTCAGCGTCTTTTTCAACAGACTTTCCCACCGACGTAGTCTGCCACAAGCCGTCCTCATTGAACCATGCAACTTTTCTCCACCTCACTGCGAACAAATATGCCCCACCAAATCTTAACCTCCTCCTCCTCCTCGTAGTTGAAGCCAGGGTTGTGCACGCGGTGGTGTCACGCCCCTTCATAATCGAATTGTGTTTGAAAAACTCGTCTCCGATAATATGTTTGCTTTGGGGGTCCTGGACGTTCTTGCAAAAGTTGGCCTTGTTCTTCCTGCGCTGGAATGATCTGATACCCCTTTTGGATGGGTCCGTGGGATCCTCAACCTTTACTCCAGAATCCTCCCCGACTAAGTGTTTGAGCATACCTTCGATCTCATGGATGATGTCCTCCGCTGCCCGGCGCTCAGATAAACTCAACGCAAGGATCTGGTAGGATCGCTCTGGTTGGTCGTAGACATCGCTCCCTGCATGTGTCGATATACTCCAAGCTGCCTGTTCTTCCATTGTTCCCCAATCAGAGCTTGCCTCTGTAGCGGTCCTACCGGATTCATATGGTTAGGTTAGGTTTGTCGCGGATTTTCGCTGCACGCCCGGGTGCCCGGGTGCCCGGAGGTGCCCATGGCCCGGGTGCCCGCGGTGCCCGGGGGTGCCCAGGTGCCCGTGCCTGGGTGCCCGGGGGTGCCCCGGGGTGCCCGGGGGTGCCCGAAGCCCTATAGCCCTATAGCCCAATAGCCCTACATAGCCCTACAACTCTATAGCCCTATAGCTCTATAGCCCTATAGCTCAATAGCCCTATAGCCCCCTAGCCCTATAGCCCTGATTGGGGTTACTCTCAGGTATCATTTCAAATAATTGTTCCTTAACCTTTCTGCAGCTCGTTGCATTAAACTTGTTTTTTGTTCGTTTTTGTTCACATCTTCCGTGTCCAGGTCCGTCTTGATGTTTTCAATTTCGATCTCCGCGTCCTCCACGCGGTCCTCAGCGTCCGTGGCGACCTGCATTGCCTGGTTCGTCTCCGTCCTGACCACCTGAATCATGCTCCTGACTGTGTGGATGTCCAGGGTCATCTTGTCAAATTTCTTTGATAGGCGCTGCTCGTAGTCGTTGATCCAGGCTGGTGATGACTCGACCGTTGCAATATTATCACAATCTTCGTTTTGAAGTGCTTCCGTCTGTTTTGATTGTTGCTTCAATGGGCTCGAACCCGTTTTGCCTCCAGCCCTCTTTCCTTACCAGCCATGTTGCCAACAGTATGTGGTGCATTGAGCAGTCGAAAACGAGCACATGATATCGGATGTCACGTAAGGGATGAGGGGATACGTTAAAGAGAATGCTTGAATACTTGAATGCTTGAGCCACGAAACGCTTGAACCAATCTTTGAGAATATCTGAGACTCGGCGGGCTTGGTGGAAGCATCGGTCGCCGCGGCCGTGTCAGAGCGTTCCGGAACGCTCTGGAGCGACTTATCTCGATTCGAGGCCTGCCTGCTGAGTGTCCCTGGACCAAGGTCACGACAGGTTCGCGTCGTGTCGACCCCAGAGGTGGTTCCTGACACAGTGGGGATCGCTCAAGCTTGAACAATCGGCCGTTTCAGAAACGCCGGATCGTCCAACGATGGGCCGATTCTGGGCCACGGTCTGCGTTCAACCTGACGCCCGCGCTGGGGTCGCCGCCGATCCACACGTGAACCAACCGTAGGATCATTCAGCATCGAATCCCAGAAGCGGGTCGAATCGAAATGTGCATCGAATTGGGCCGAGATCGGCATCGGCGCGGAATCGAAATCGAATCGGATCGGCTGCGCAAGGATGCACAACAGCGCCATGCAAGCATCGGGCCGCATCGGATCGTCGGAACATCGGAATCAAATCGGATCAGCCAGCCAGAACCGATATCGTACCGGATCGATCGGATCGAAATGGGCCTTGCAAGGTTAGGACCCTGAGATCCTGGCGTCGCAATTCGTTTCGCGCCAGGCACTTTCGCCCCGCTTCGGGTCCAGAGACACTCACAGATCGATCAAGCTCGAAAAATGCCGCAGAAAGATGGCGTCCAGGGCTACAGTCATGATATTTTGCGTGCAGTTTTTGTCGCAACGTCGGATATCAGGGGAGGCAACTGCTGGGAGGTCTTCGTAACTAAGGGATAGAAAGCCCGAATAAGCAGATCTGCCCAGATTTAGCACATGATTACATCGAATCGCACACTATTTACACGGGAATGAGCAGAACTAAACGGGAGTATGACAGATTAGACCGGTTTTCGGCCATGGATGCGCCAACGCCGATGCTGATGTTGACCTCCTATGAGTTGCACCCTAACCAAGGGGTCACCTGGACTTCCAAGAGGCCCCCGCGGCCTCCAGAGCACCCCTCACGAGGCCCAGAGGGCCCCAGGGGCTCCGCGATGGAGCGAAAAGCTTGGGGCACATTGGACCAGGCACACCTTCCCGTCCCAGCCCCAGGCAAAGACACCCAGCGCGCCGAGAAAATCGAGGCGGCCGCTTCAGTCGTCCCCATTTGCCTCTAGGGGGCGGCTGCGGGCTCCGGAGGCGTCAGGTAGCGACTCGGGATGAAGAGCTGGGACCGACGCATCGAGAACATCGAAGCGCTGGATTCATGGAAACGCGCCGCGATGCCGCCCGTGGGCCGTGATCCCAGCCCCAAAGCCATCCTTGCGCGCTGTGTTACTGCATGAGCACACGAGCACACGTCATGCGCGCGAGCCTGCGGTGGCAGTGCCAAGTGATGCCCCAGACAATATTCTCCAGACAGGCGCCTCTTGGCTCTTGGCAACTCGCAACCATGGGCGCCGTAATACAAAAATCGCTGACGATGATGTCATGGACTCACGGGTTCAGGTTCTCCACCATGGAGACGGCTGCAATCTGCCACCCTGCCGCAGACAACGAGTGGAATGGCCTCAGGTCCCCAACAGCCCTCGATACCGAATCCGCCACCGCGTCTGCGCGATAGCGGAAGGCTTGACTGTTTTTTGGTCGTCTAGTGGGGTTTCAGTGGTCTTCCAGAGGCGCCCCCCCCGTTGCTGGCGGGCACAGGCCCGCAAGAAACTGCGGCCGCAACACCCTCATGAGAACCAGAAAAGGGCAATTCGATAACCGACTTGGCAGCGTGGTATTTCTATCAACCTCAGACACCCCCTGGATCCCTGAAATCCAATGTTGCGAAAATGATACAACATCTCGATAAAGACCGACTGGTGCCCTAGACCCTAGACCCCCATATCACTCTGCGACATTTGTCCGGCCGGGCCGATCTGTGACGGCACCAGGGACGACACTGGGCGAAACGCACGGTGCGAAGAAAAGGTGCAAGGCCTTCCTCGGGGCTCCACCGCTGTCCAAAGATCGACGCTCTGGTTGTTGCTGTGTCCTGGCGCCGGTTCCCGACCCCTTCCACGGGGCCAATTGTTCGCCCCGGATCCATGTTTGATGGCCCCACAGGGCTCGACAACGGACCCCGGAGGCCCAAATTCAAGGCTACGCCAACGGCGATGTTGGGAATCTGGTGTGTGCGACGCCGCGCTCGCGCAGAACAAATCGTAAGAAAGCACGAACAGCGCTTTCCTAACATTGGGTTGGCCACGAACCACCTCCACCTAGAAATACCGAAACCTACATCGCCGTTACCTAGATCGCTGTTAGCGCGTCTACGGCAGATCGATGAAAAACGCCCAGGCTCAAAAATCATATCATCGGAGATCTGGGATCGTGCCTGGCTTTCGGGTCATAGCTCGGTTCGCCGGCGGCCGACTGGGACGATCCAGGCAGCCCGGGACGCCTCTCGGCGAAGCGCAACTGCTGGAACACATCCCGGGGCTGGGCAGCCACCGAGAGCCGACGAAAATGTCCGCAAACCCAGACGATCGAATCGGATCGAAAAACTGGCCCTGGCGCCGCTTCGGCCTCCTGGCGGCCCCAAGACGGGCCAGGACCGCTCCAAGGCGGCCCACAAGACCGCTGCGGGCGACCAAGAACTCCGACGTCGTGATTTTCTCACAGCGTCGACCCCCAGAGGTCTGGACCCCTTCCCCAGGCCCCGTTGTTCATCCCAGGTTGTTTTCTGACTGTCCCAGGGCCTGGTGAGGGTCAGCGGAAGCCGAAAACGGCCAGAAACCATCCGTCGAGATTTTTCCACGACGCGACGAGAACAGGTGGGGGGCCACACGACCCAGGCACAATTGCGGGATGAACCGATTGCCGCTTAGGTCCGCCGCCCCCTTGTCAGGACGCTTCAGGTCTTTGCCAGGAGCTTCCCGCTTGCCCAACACGCTGGCGCAGGCAGATCGCACAAAGTGGCCCAACATGGCCTCCAAGACGGCCTCCGAGACAGTCGAAGATGGTCTTCAAGACGGTCAAGATAGCCTCATCTTGTCCCAAAGACAACCCGAGAAAGCCCACGGACAGACAGCTGGAGGGGGCTCCAAAGATGCCCCAAGAGGGCCTCGAGAGCACTCCCGAGCGTCCCGCAGGAGAAAAACACATGTAACGGATTCGAAACAAGATCGTCAAACCATGAGGCTGTTTATCTCGCAAGCCCATACGTTGGCTTCGAACGCTCAAAACGGCCAAAGAAACCCTGAAGATCGTCCCAAGAAGGTCCCAAATATCCCAGTGCTGGCCCCACGATCCAAGGCCCAAAGGGGCTCAAGCGAATTAACGCCGAAAAGCGCATGATAAGACCAATCCAGCGGAGATCCAGGATGTGGAGGGAAAGAAAACCAGAACCATGACCAAGACTGAACGCGGCAACGTCGATGTTAATCTTGGTAATCGTCCATGTTGGTCTTCGTCGATTCGTGGATCATCCTCGCGAATCGCCAACGGCCCCCATGGGCCGCATGAACCATGCCCGAGACCGGCGTCGACAAGATCCCGCGACATCTTAATCCTGGTCATCGTGCTTCTCCCCTCGAGGATGGAGCCGACACAGGCCCGGTGCTGCTGAGCCGTGGGCCCCGGTTGGAAGCGGCCTGGGAGTCTGCGCTGGATGGGCCCCGAGAGAGTCGGTCAAGAGGGGCGGACGAGGGCAAGCCCGCTCAAAGCCTTGCCCTGGACCCGTCCTGGGCTCCCTCCGTTCTGCTGGCCGGAACCAGTCCCAGACACGCGATGGATCGATTCAATGAGATGGGGTCCCCGGAAGTCCCGACCCCTTCCCAGAGGCGGCGTTTCCATCCCGAGTCGCTTCTCTGGGCGCGAGCATGTCTGGGCTTACCCCTCCTCTCTGCTGGCCAGAACCACTGCTTGGCCACCTCAGCCCGCCAGCCAGCTCCAAGGCTCCGGTCCTGCGTGAAGTACTGCGGCACCTTAGGAGCAGCGCCCGGCCACTGGACCCGGCCCGATCCACACGAGGCCCGACCTTGCTCCGGCGGGCCCGACGCGCCCCGATTAGAAATGAAAGGATCTTGGCCCCCCAGAAATCAAAGAACTTTCGCATTATTAGAAATGAACAATGTGTTCCCTGAGATCCGCCACTGCTAAACAAAATGCAACACCCCGAAAGATGTATCCACGGCAGCCCGCGGGAGCTGGGCACACTGGCGCGGAACTGTCCTGGACCCAGTGCTGCTGACGATGTGGTTTTTGTTCCATCCTGGCGCTTCTCCTCGAATCACGAAAAAATCACGGCGGAAGGTTTTTCCCTGCTTTCGGCCCCCAGGGGGCCCTCACTGGGCCTCGGGACCCACA